TTCAAGGAGGAAAGACTCTAAAAGCATTCAACAGCCGTTGTCAAGGAAGTATCGGATACCAACCACATGCAAGGAAATCTAAGTATAACTAAAACTAGGACATCCCTGCCACTTGGAAGAAGAAAGGATGATCGAGCTTTTATTTATTTTCTAAGACGAAGTGCCAAAAAGAGAAAAAAAACAAACACCACTAACTTTTCTTCTTCTCCTCCTCTTTCTTCATATTTTTCAAAAAGCAAAAGGACAGAAAAAAAAAATCTGTTAGGCTGAAAATCCGAAAGGAAACCCAAGCATTGGAAAAAAAAACCTTACCGGGGCTGAACACCCACACCCGAAAGGGACCTCAGGGCGATAGAAAATGGCGTCAGAAAGCAAAGTAAATGAAAGGCATCAGTCCAAGTAAACATGCAGATGCTCAACTATCTTTCCAATACTCCAGTTTGCTCAGAAAATAAGAAATATTCTCCCTTGAATAGTGACGTAAGAGCCATGATTGGAAGATGATGAAGTACTTGGTGATTCCGCATCCTAAAAGTCCCAAGTAAAGGCTCGGCAAGCTCATGTCAAAAAAATAAAAAAATAAAAAAAAAGAAGAAAAAAAAAACTGAAAAAAAAAGAAAAAAATAAAAACAGAAGAAGAGAGAGCTCCATGATAGCATGAGCCTAAACTGCTTACCAAACTTGTTTTTTAAAATTTATCATCCATCTTCAAAATTTCCCCAATGTGTTTCATGAGTTTTCAAAAACTTTAATTTTTTTGGTTAAAACGTAACCCGAAACTCTGTTTCTGTTTTCAAAATTGAATCAATCTTCAAACCTTCTAAAATGTTTTAAAAATCGAAGGAGTTTCATGGAGGCGTGGATATGATGCATCGGCCGCCGCCAAATACTGGATTGCCATGCTTGCAAACCCTTAGGAAAACAAAGAAAATGAAAGGCATCAGTCGAAGTAATTAGGAAAATAGCCCATAAACCAAAAAAGACCAGAGAGAAAAGAGATCAAGAAATCCCTTAGAAATTCTCGAAATTAGGAAAATAGCCCAAAATACCCAAAAATAGGAAAAACCCCTAGAAAATTCCAAAAAAATTAGAAAAAATCCCAAAAAATCCCTAAAAATCACAAAAAATTCCATAATTCATATTCAACCTTTGAAGATCCCAAAACCCAGAGAAAACTAAAGAAATTCTTCTCCACTCCCAAGAAATCCCCAAGAAGAGCCTAGGTAGACTTTACCTAAAATTCTTAGCATTTCTCCATGCCTTAGGAACCCAAGATCTAAGTCAGAACCTTAGATCTACCAATTCCAGCAAGGAAAGGCATCCAAAAAAGGGGATGGTGGCTCAAATCGGAAGAGCGGCCTGATCCAAGCCTGAACCTCTGGGTTTTGGGTCCCTAGAGATAAGTATCTCTTTCTTTGCTTAATTTAGTTTGTTTTTCTTCATTTAATTCTCTTTTTTATTTTATTTTTTCCAGAAATTGATTTATTATTAGATTGAATTAAATTTATAAGCGATTTTTTAGTCAAAATACGGATTTGGAGCTAATGCTACCAGTAGACTAAGAAAAAGACTGGACTTGTATATATCTGGGATTTTCCTGAGCTCATAATTCAAGCAACTCCACTTTCTCTACCTTTTCAAAAAAAATAACTTAGGCTTTTGCTAAGAGAGCAGATCTCATCCCAGAGATCGACACATATCGGAGCGTAAACATATGTGTTCTTTCCTATTTTGTAGCCTTATCAATCAAGGCATTCAATTGAGTTAAAATGATAGGATGTCTTGAAAATTAAGAGATATAATTTTCAATTAACGTATGTGTAAGAAGATTATGGAAAAGAGAGGTAAGATTATTTTTATTTGATAGGATTAGGTTAAGAAAGTTGAAGGATAAGGTGCTAGCATCTTCCTTTTAATCGTGATGTTGATCTAAAGATTGTATTGCTAAGATCCCTTACCCCACAGGTCTCTTTTGATCAATAGTCTGGATCTATCTTCTAAAAGGATGGCTAAACCTAAGAAACCTAACCCTAGAAAAAATCTATAAATACACCCCATAGGGGTCCTAATTCTCTACACAGCTTGAGTTCTCTTTCTCTCCCCCTCACAAGGCGATATGCCACCCTCTCTCATCTCTCTCTCAAATCTCTCATCTCTCTCTTGCCTCCATTAGGAAATTCTAGTAAGAGAAATAGGGGAGCACGCCCCAAGCATAGTGCTAAGGGTAGGTTACCATACTAGCTATTGAGACCTAGGATACTATATTAGGTATTGAGACCTAGCCTACCATACTAGGTATTGAGACCTACACTTAGTCTTCCATACTAGGTATTGAGCTCTAGCTTACCATACTAGGAATTGAGACCTAGCATACCATGCTTAGGCATTGAGGCCCAATGTTGTGATTGTTCTACTATTGCTCTTTGGTTTGAAAGGGTTGATAGCCTAAAGTTTCTCATACTTTAAAGATCTCAAAAAGACCTTGATCCGGTGCACCATCGAAGGAGGCCTAGAGTGGGATGTGCAAAGTCCAATTGAGGTAATCTTTTGGCAATTTATTTTTTGTTTATACAGTTTGTGTTTCCTTCTCCCAAGACTTTAAAGATCAAGTTTATGCAATTTTGTTTGTGTAATAAAGAATGGTTAAAATGGTAGCAAGTGAGAGTCCTTGGGATTCTTTGTGTCTCTTTATTGTTTCTCATTATGTATGTGAATATCTGGAAGTAATCCGGGTGGTGAAAATAAAGAAAAGAAAGAAAAAATTTTAATCAATATATACTTGCCCGGGTTACATAGTCCAACTTTCAATTAAAGCTTAAGCCAATATTTTAAGCAGACTCTTAGTTGGAAGTGTTGTAATAGCTTATTTGATGACAGAGAGTTGAACTGGTGCTGGCCCAAGTAGCAAAGTTGAAAGAGAGAAACACAGCAAAATGAGAAAGGAACAAAACAACAATCGTTTCGGCACGATCTCATAGAGTTTATATTTGAATCACTTACAAAAATTGCCCAAGAAATTTTTACATTGTATATTTGAGGCCTTGTATGAGCTGTAGATAAATATGACATAAGCATAGGTCAAAAGCAATGTTCCAAAACACAGCCCGCCAAACGCCTAGGCAGCCGCCTAAGCAGGCCAAGGCGGTCTGGGCTAGTGCCCAAGCCTAGGTAGCCCTCCTGGGCACTGGGTCCCCAACCACCCTCCAGGGGAAGCAGGCCCAATACCTAGCCCTAGGCAGGCGCCCAAGGACTGTGGCCACCCAAGTGTGAAAATGCGTTCATGGACGGGCATTTTGGACCTTCCCCCTTCCCCCCCCCCCCAAATAAGGGGGAGGGAGAGGGGGGTTTAAGTTTTTGTGTGTCCTAAGGCCTTTTCTTACATATTAAAGGGAAAAACAAACAAATTTTTGATTTCCTATTAGTTTTGATAGGTTAATTCAAAGTTAAAAAAAATTAATCGACACATTTTTTCCCTCCTCATATGTGTATGGAGTATGGACTATGGATTGGGATGGTAATCATGGTATTGGTACATGGAGGACTATGGACTATGTGTTATGTCACTATGTGTATGAGTTAACATGAAGTTTGCTCTATGGTGTTTGGGTTGCTTTGGACTATGGTGTATGGTCTATGGATTAATTGGATTACAATTTATGACTCATGAATTGTGACTTGCGAGTTTGTGACTATTAATTATTATATTTTCCTTGTAATTGTGTTAGCAATTAGCACTAGTAATCTAGTACTGAATTTGAATGTTGGATTCTATTTTGCTCTGTTTCTGAAGTTATCATTAACTAATTGTTTCAGGCAGCAAAAGTGTTTTGGAAGTCAGTACCCAAACAAAAACTGTCATCTACAACCTAGATTCCTGCTCTGGAAGGTGAGCGCTCATGTAACTCACATATCCATGTTTCAGGCAGCAAGAGCCCATACATCTCACATTCCCATTTTCCCAGGTGAATGCCCATATAAATAATATACAAATCTTCTACGTAGTGAGTGGCCACATGGTTCACTTCACTTACTCATGTTCCTAGTGGTTATACACTCATGTTCCTAGGGGCAAGTCCCAGATGACTTTGTTGACAGAAGGTGGACGCCACTTGGAGATAATCTTGAAATGTGGAGATAAGGATCCCATATACATGGTGACACATTTCATTGCTCTATTGGGCACAAAGCCCACCTAGCGATCCATAAAGATATCCTAGGAGGAGACGGAATGGTTCTCTTCTCTCTCCGGAGACTTATCACAATCCCCGCACTCTCCATCCACTTGGCCATCTAATCACTCTAAGGCAGTTCCCCTCTTTTACACAATTCCACGGATCCATTATTAAGATTTTGATTTGTCATTTGTTCTATATTCATATAATTTAATGATAATGATATTGAAATAATATTCGAACATCTATGACAAAAACGTCAAATCAACATAGAACTTTATCCTAGCACAAAAAAGAAACACTTAGAGAAAGGGTTCTTCATTCTCATACTCTTTAACTTTGTACTACGAACTTTCATGGTGAGAAAACAGCACTAAAATATGACATTGAGTCCATGGATCAAAATGGGATTAACTACAAAACACTAGTTGAAAGTTGCCATAGGAAAAGTTTTCTGCAAAGAGGTTGGCTATTGAATGTAAATTTAGGCATTTGTTAAAGCCTTTTACGATGATCCAGTTTGGACTGGACCCATTCCCTCTGCATGTAATATTGGTTCATGGAAATTTCAAGTACAGCATATGTATGCTTTTGATAAGGATACGATATAATTCTTTCACGCAATATTAAATGGAAAAATAACACATCCAGTCAAAAAAGAACCTGCTCAAGATCCTGTAATGCAAATTTACCATGTATATCATCATCCTTTCCAGCAATAGTTTCACGTGAGTAAAATAGTTTCCAGTGAGTACAATTCTATAAAGATTATCCTTGTTAAATATATGAAAAGATTACAAGCACAGGAAAGAATATGAACAGATGTACCTTTCATCTCTCCAAACACTACTATACAGAAATTTAGGGACTACTAGTGTGGCATTTAGCAAGCGAGAAACAGCAACGGCATTGCACACCTGAATTTCAACCAAAAATATATATATATGATTAATCAAGAAAACAACCTGCCCAAATGAATGACATTACCAAAACTCTATAAATGGTGAATAAAAAATATTTAGCACAAAAGCATATAAAGAACCAATATTTGCAGTAATTAATGGTATCCAGCTAAAGATCATGTAAACAAAACAAACAGACAATTCATACTCTAATGGATTCAATAGAAACACTAAAACTCTCACAAACAATCATACCAGCACCAAAATGAACATTGTCACAAAATGAGTTCTTACATTTATGTGGATTGATGTTCAAAAAGTAGATGGATGACAAATAACTGAGCAGGCAATTTCTACAATCACTATGCAGCAATAAACAGGTGAAATACAGAAAAGAGACAAATTGAAGAAATAGGGAACATCAATATATCGAAACCAAAATTTTATTCAGATCATATAATAGCTCCAAAAGATAAAAAGGAACTCCCATAGTTTCTCATGTTCCACAATGCTACCACTGAAATCTCTAGAGGTGTTTCTGAAGAATTGCATCCCTCTTTCCAACTTTCCAACAATTCCAGGTGAAATATATCAGGTTCTGATATAAAAGTTGAAGAATGGTGATACTAATCTATTGAAGTCTTTATCTTACGCAAATATAGTTGAAAGACCAGCAATCAAAAGAGAATCTGATAGAGAAAACTGTCACACATTACTTAGTTCAGCCTGATTTCCATATTGGGCATAGTTTCTAGGGTTTTTGTTTTGCTTTCGGTATTACAGTATGTGTTTCTTTCTAATACATGGTCTGCATAAAATATTATTCCAGTTAACAATACTGTTTTTAATTATGAAATAATCAGAGATCTACCATGTATGTATAAATAAAAAAGAACATAAAATTTATCAAGACCATTGGAGTTATGGTCTTTCAAGGCTTTGACCACATCCTTTTATAGCTCTTGATAGCTTTTGGGTACAGTGGGAGTGACCGAGAGCGATGTGACTGTAGGATCTTGGTGTACTCAGACCAAGAGTCACATCACCCCAAGTGTCATGAGGCTGTGCATGTGAGAGGCACCAAGAGTGTTGAGGGTTACCTCTAGTCAACGTTTCTTTTATATTCATGCCTCATGACTGTGTCATGACCAGGGTATTGTTTTTTAGACTGGTTGTGATTGACTGGTAGTGACATGAGCTCGAAGTATTCTATGTGATTTTAGCACTCTATGAGAAGGATAAGACTTTGAGAAGACAAACCTAAATCCCTGACCTTGTACATTCTCGTGTCATATGCATCTACAGTCAAAGGTAGCCACTCTTCCATAGCCGGTCCACTAGGAAGAGATATTTACATGTGCCGAGAGAGGACCCGAGCATCAACAAGAGTGCGTGTCCTCAGTGGTGCACCTATAATCCACTACAACCTGAGGGTCCCAAGCCATATATTGAATTAACTTTGATAAGCCAAGCCAAGCATAACACTGTGGGTTTGATGGGTCATTCTGGGCAGGTGACTTGGGATTCCAGGTCTATCCGAGTGGAGTGCTCTGATATCCAATTCATCTCTATAGGACCCTAATTTCCCTCATTGATCGTAACATATGATGCCAAATTGTGTGATTATGATGGAGTATGCTCTGAGGATTTTTGGGGATTTCTAAAAAAAATTCTAGATTTTTCTTAGCTCATACTATGGATTTGAGAAATGACTAAGAACTGTGGACCCCATGGTCCACATGTGACACCCAAACAGCCCATGGGTGCCACATGTGGCTGATGTGGCTCCACATCATTGACACATGGGTATACATAGGGATGACATCATCCCCATGGCGACCTACTTATCATTTGTGAAATTGATTGAAAATTGAAATTTAAAATTATGGAGTATTTTGTGATATTGAGAAATTGGATTTGAGATATGGTTATGTGCACATGAGGAGATGTTCTTAAAGGGGTATAAGGTTTGGTATTATGAATAAAACCCAAAGCACATTTAGGATTATGTATATAACCACTTATCCTGCATGGCATCAAATGATTGGGTGCACATCCATACTAAAGTAAAATGGAATTGGGGGTAAACTTTAAGTTCAAATTTCTTCTAGAAGGATTGCCCAATTACGAAAGGGGTAACCCTCTACCTATGCTTTCTCATTTTAATCAAGAGAGTCAGCATGAGACATTATGGAAGCAAGTTGAATTTGATGTGAATTTGAATTTGAGATTAATGAGAGGATATTTGGAGGGAATTAGGGTTGATTAAGAGGATAATGGAGTTAACTCATCCACTCATCAAGATGACATGATGAGTGATGAGTGACTAGGATCATGCCCTCTCTCTACAATTGACGACTTGTTTCAATAGCCAAGATTACCTCATCTAGAAACATTTCTATACTAGACTATAAATACCCTCTTAGTTGCTCATTTGAGCACATTTAACTCTCTCTAAGTGGCTTGCCTGCCATTTGGCTCTCTCTCTCGCTATACACTATGTGAAAGTTTTTTAGTGAAAGAAACTAAATTTTTAAGTGGCACACACCCCATTTCTCGCTCTCTCTCTCCCTCTCTCCTCCTCTCTCTCTCTCTCTCTCTCTCTCTCTCCATAGAGTAGTACGATGGGCCTAGATCTTGGTGCTATCTGAGTAGTCATTACATGGTATGTAGCTAAGACCGTATCCGCAAACTGGGCACATAGATCTTGCTTATTTGGCTTCCCATGACCAAATCTAATGTGCACTTGTAAATGTTTGTTTTGGTGAAGAAGGAGATTGCATTTGAGTCATTTGATATAATTTCAAAGTGAACTATAATTTCCCTTGGAATTGTGTAGTGTTGTATTTTGTCGCACTTGAGTATTTGTCTTGTATATTTAAAACCTCCTTTTGAGTATTTTGTGTTTGGACTTTGTCAAGAGACCTATTAGAGTTGTAATTTTCTTTTTAGGTATATTTGAAGCCAAGTATAGTGGCTGGAAATTGCATTTAAATGGTATATGTTGATGTAAAATTCATGTAATTTGGAGCATTTTGTATTGTTATGAGATATTTTTAAATGTTGTTAGTTGGACTGGGCTTTATGCACTAATAAGTGGTATTCGAGCCAAAGTCTAAGGTCCCTTAGTCCATTAATTTTTGGCCTAAGATTGTGATCTAGGAAGTGCACAAGTATTTGATCATGGTAGCCAAGGCAACTTACTAAGCTTCTTAAAGATAAAAGATCCAAACACTAAGATGAGAGAGAGCAGACTTAGGTGGGCTCGCCATGTGTGGTGCAGACCTAGAACAGCGCCTGTTAGGAGGTGAGAGCTAGTTCAAGTAGAAGGCTTGAATAGGGTAAGGGGTAGGAAAAAAATGGCATGGTTGGAAGTAGCCTGAAAAGATATGGGGACTTATGATCTCACAGAGGTGGCTCTTAATAGATCACAATGGCGGACCAAGATTCGTCTAGCCGACCCCAATTAATTGAGAAAAGGCTATGATGATGATGATGAACTTGTTAGATTGAGTGGGAGCAAATTGATTAGTAGAATGCTAAAACCATTCAGAGAGGGGAACTTGGCCTCGAATTTGGAAACTTTTTCTTTCAACCAATTTCGCATGAGAATTTAGAAGAGATTATATATGGGAATGACGTGATATATAACCAAAAGGAGTTTTAGGCCTCTTGATATTTGAAATTGGACTTTCCATGAACCTATGAGCTTATCTTCCTCTGCTTTTTGAGTATCGTGACATCAATATTTTGCCACATTGGAGAAAAAAATGAGTCACTTGAGGTATGCCACTGGTGGTTAAATTAGAGGTCATTTATTAATGTTGCTAGGCACCTAACATTTGACTCTTGATCTTCCAATGGATGATTGAATGGGACCTATGCATAGAATCCTCGAACGCCTACATAATTCATGCACTATGTGCTAGGGATGACTATAATGCCAATATGAACTTATTCCGTTCACCGACGCATGAGGAACTCACCGAATGGCCTTACCCCGTCTCTTAAAGACTAGGAGGCTCCTCAGTGGACCATTCATGGATGTTTTGAGGACAATCAATTGGCATGTGAGACTTAATGAAAGGCTACATGAACATGTGAGGATTATGATAGATCTTATGACCATGTGAAAAGGACTCCTCATATTATGGGCAAGTCATAATCATAGTGACAATCTTATAAAGACTAAATGGGACGATTTTCAGGCAAATGAAATAATTCCATTGGCTAGACCAAACGAAATTTGCCAAAGAGAAACTTTTAAGATTGAAAGATGAGAAAACCCAAGTAAAGATTATTAAGTCCTGCATTATATGAGGTCTTGTCCTAAATATATGTTGGAATGATTCAAACCTAAATGTGCTTGGTTACTCGAATTCCTATAGGTCTCAATCAAGTGAACCATTTGATTATGGGGGCAAGGACTGATAGAATCAGTCGATAATGGCACTAATTTGGCATGGAATACACATTATTCATGAGGAATGAGATAATGAGCAAAATGATGTGGTTTTAAGAACTAATGTCCCATAGAAAAATCCAAGCACAATCCCACACCCTGGTCTTAAATGGACAAGATCTTATTTTGAGTTCTGGTCCATGACTACGGGAGGTTTGAGAGCTTTACATGAGTAAGAAAATGTGATCATGAGGATGAGTATTTGATGAGTACTTGCATGAGCATAAAGTGTGGGTAAGCGTGTATTCATAAATATTTATGTGTATTGATGAGCATGACACTCTGAGTACTTCATTGAGCATACGAGTATGTGCATAAGTATTGCAGGAGCATATGGAAATATGGACATGAGCATACATGAGAATTTGTGTGTTTGTGAATTTAAGTATGAATGCCTATATGGGCATGAGTATGTGTGTGAGAACATGCCTGAGTGCATGGTATGGATTTGAGAAAATGTGGCATAAGCATTTGCAAGAGTATCATATGGAGTTTTTGCATAAGTATGATATGGAGCATTGGTACGGGGATTATGTGTGGTATGATTCATGAATGGCTTGTGTGGAATGATTTATGTGGATCATGGCACAATTTATGTGGATCATAAGTGCTATGGTTTATGTGGATGATATTTGTTATTTCAATAGCAAGGCCTCAAAAGGCCAAGTAGGAAAATGTTAGAGTTATGGTCTTTCAAGGCCTTGACCCCATCTTTTTATGGTTCTTGGGGAGCGACTGAGAGCGATCCAACTCCAGGACCTTCATGCACTAGGACCAAGAGTTACATAACCCCAAGTGTCATGAGGCTAATTTATATGTGAGAGCAACCGAGATTGTTGAGGGTTACCTCTAGTCAGAGTTGGTTTTTTATTTATACCTCATGACTAGTGTTTCAAAAAGCGCTAGGCAGCACCAAGGCTGTCGAGAGGGTCTAGGCTGCCCAATGCCTAGGCGGGCGCCCAGAAACTGAGCAGCCCAGTAGGAATTTTTTTTTGTTTGGATTTTTTCTCTCTAAAATAGGCTCTAATGGGTTTTAGGTTTCAAATGAACCTACAACCCACAATTTTGTACCTTTAGTATTAAACAAATGACCCAAAAAATACCCTCAACGAGGGGCATTTCCACCCCTGGGCGGGGCACATGCCCTAAGCGGGTTCAGGCAGGCGCCTAGGGATATCCACCTATTTTGGCCGCCTAGGCCTGGGCAATGCGCTTAGGCCTTCTGGACCGCCTCGGCGGCCACCCAGGCACTGGGTGGTCCGCTTTTTAAAACACAACTCATGACTGTGTGATGGAAAGGGTATTGTTTTGTATATTGATTATGATCAATGTGTCAAAAAACACTAGGTAGCCTGCTTGGTGCCCAGCCCCTAGGGGGGCGAGTTGAGGTACAAATTTTAAGAAATACATATGTTGAACAAACACACATATATGGAGAGAGTTGTGATAATTTATAATTTTTTTGGCATTTATATGTATTCTAACTAACTTTCCAATCATATATATAAGCATGAGTGTTGAAACGCAATCAAACCTTCAAATAAAAGCTCAAAAATATTATTGTCCCGATCCGAAATCGACCGATCTGGATCAGGAATCACCTGGACCGTCCCGGATCTGACCATAAAACGGGATTCACCAAATTTTTTGTACAGGCTCGAAGTGCTGACGTCACGACAACAGTGAACCATCGAGTCCATTGATTCCACTGCGATGAACAGCGAAAGCATTTCAATCATCATGGGTTTGATCTTTTTGATTAATTATTTGCCATTTGCAGGATTTGGCAATGAATTATTGGTCACTTTACAGCCTTTTATTGCATTATAAACAAACTTGTGCTCGATTTGAGATCACAAATTCAATTTGCATTCACGGTTTTTTGAAGAACAGTTAAGAGCTTTGTTTTTCGCCATTTAATCGATTCCAGTCGATTTTGGGCAAATGTTTGTTCATATCAGAGGGTTTTTGTTCTTGATAGTGTTCTTGACCGATATTGTAGCCCTTATTCGTATTTTCGGCCGATTGTTGGTCGATTTTTGATTTCAAGTCACATTTTTTGAAGAACAGGTAACGGCTTTTCTTTTCTGGCATTTGACCAATTTTAATCAATTTTGGGTAAATTTTTTGTTCATATCAAAAGGTTATTGTTCTTGATAGTGTTTTTGACCAAATATTGTAGCCTTTTTCATGATTTTAGGTCGATTGTTGATCGATTTTCGATATCAAGTCATGCTTTTTGAAGAACAGTTAACTGCTATTTTTTTCCGCCATTTAATTGATTCCAGTGGAATTTGGGCAATTTTTGGTTCACATCAGAGGGTTTTTGTTCTTGATAGTGTTCTTAACCAGATATTGTAGCCCTTTTTCGGAAGTTTTGATCGATTTTTTATTTCAAGTCACCTTTTTTGGAGAACAGTTAACTGTTTTTTTTTTCCGCCATTTAATCGACTCCAGTCAATTTTGGGCAAAATTTTTGTTCATATTAGATGGGTTTTGTTCTTGATCATGTTCACCAGATTTGTATCCCGTTTTCGTGATTTTTGCTCGATTGTTGCTCGTATTTCGATTTGCAGTTAGGTTTCTTGCTAAAACAATTGACTAGAAAAAAACCTTGATTTCCGGTCATTACAACTCGATTCAAATCCAATTAAGGTATGCATTTTATTCCTGATATTTTCAATTCTCAGATCCAGTAGTATCATAATTTTTTCATTTTTTTATATGAATTTTTTTTAAAAATGCTTTATGGTTTGAAATCCAATTTAGGGTTTTTGAGTAATTACTTTTAAATTTAATTTTCTTATTTAAATTAGGAATTTTGAAAAATAATTGTTCTTGATACACACAACATAAGAATACATTTTTTTTATTTTCTTGCAATTATATTCAATTGTATGTCATGATTTATTAATTTCATGGGAAAAATCTCGTATTTTTTAATTTTACGTCAATTTTTTTTAAAGCACTAAAATGTATGTTTTTGAATCTTGACACATAATTAAATTTTTCTTGATACATAAAATATATGCATGTTATTGTTTCTCTCGGTATAAGAATACATTTTCTTTTCTATTTTCTATTTTCTTATAATTATAATCAATTATTCAATTCTATGTCATGAATGTATAATTATCATACAAAAAAATTGTATTTTTCAATTTTATTGTCAATTTTTTTTAATGCAATAAAATGTACATCCATGATGCATAATTAAATTATTCTTGATTGTGATATTTTTAAAAATGTGATGTTCCTTCCATGCTCACTTCATAGTATCTTATTCTTATCCTATAATTTGATTTCATATTCTGCTGCAATTATTTTGATTTGGAGCATGTTGGCATATTACTGTAGTTTGATTTATGGCAAAATGCCTACTTTTTTATAACAACTAACTTGGAATGCAAATTTGGAATTATATTGATGTGTGGACATCCAACTTAAAGAATACATGATCGCTTTTTTACTCCTTGGAGCAAGCACCGGTGGTCAAATAGCCATTTAGAACTAGGTTAACAAACATCCAGACAAGAAAACAGTGTCTCAGTATTCACCTATTTTTACAAAATAATGAAAGTACATAATGCACAATTCCTAATTTGTTTTATAAACTAAAAAAACACAATTTTTAGAGTTTTATAGTGATTTTTTGAAAAAACTTTGGAACAAAATTGGCCGATTCTGCCGATTCTCCGATCTGATCCACCGATCCGACACAGGTATGGGTGTGAACGATTCGGATCACCCATCAGTCTTTTTAAACCTTGCTTCAAATCATTGAAAATTTAGTAAAAAAACCTAAACAAGTCCATGATGTATTAGTTTCCAACTTTCCAATCCATACTCCAGAGTGACACACAGTCATGATAACAATTAGATGCACACAGACATAATCATTGGAGTCCAAGTCTCCAATAAAATACAAAACCAATAGTCCAAATGTCCCATACAAGATAGTGTAATATAAAAGGCAAGGTGAAATACAAAAGAAATTCCAATAATAAAGGGTCAGCTTTTTGGATGCTTCTTCAAACCTCAAATAATTTTTGCGATTCAAAGAAATTTGTAAAATCAATTTATTTGGGTGTTTGTAGGGTCTAGATATGATTTTGTTTTTTCACTTTCGGGGTTTAGAATACCCCCCAATACTGTTTAAGTTTAGTTTGGGGGTCAAATGACCCAAAATGCCCTTAGGTGCCTATTTTATTACACAAAAAAAGGCCCAGGCCTAGGCATGTGGCCTTGGGCCCTTTAGGCACCAAGACAGGCGCCTAGTCGCCGGGCAACTGTTTCTTTAAACAATTATGTTTCAAAAAATGCTAGGCGGCCGACCTGGCGCCCAACCCCTAGGTGAGTGCCCAAAACCTCACACGCCTTGAGGTAAAAAATTTTAAGATATGCATATATGTGCTGTTCAAACGCACGTATTTGCTGATATTTGTGATAGTTTTGTATTTTTCTGTATTTATATGATTCTAACTTTTTCCACACATGTATATAGGAATGAATGTTGAAACCCGTTCAAAACTTCAAATCATTTGAAAATTTAGTGAAAAAGCATAAACAAGTCCCTGGTGTATTAGTCTCCAGCCCTCCAATCTATACTTCAAAGTGACACAATCATGAGACACAATTACACGCACATAGACATAGTCACATGGACTCCAAGTCTCTAATAGAAGTATAAAACCAATAGTCCAAATGTCTAATACAAGAGGATGCAATATAAAAGGCAAGATAAAACACAAAAGAAATTCCAATAATAAAGGGTAAAGCTTTTGGATGCTTCTTCGAACCTTAGATTCTTTTTTTAATTCGCAGAAATTTGCAAAAATCAATCTATTTAGGTGTTTGTAGGGTCTAGATTTTTTTAACTTTGGGGATTTAGAATTCCCCCCAACAGTTATTAAGTCTAATTTGTGGGTCAAAATGCCCTTAAGAGCCTATTTTATTACAAAAAAAGGGCCTAGGCCCCCGCCCAGGACTGGGCAGTAGGCGGTCACCTAGCAATTGGCGACCAGGGAAGACCGCCCAGGCCTAGACATGCGGCCTAGGGCCCTTTGGGCGCCTAGGCGCCAGGCAGACCGTTTTGTTAAACAATGCAACTTATATATTACTAGATAAAAATTGGCTGTTAAATGTGTACTAACCATTTAGCAAAGGAATATGATACACCTCATTGTGATTACTTGCATACGAGTAATACTTGCATAACTTAGAAGACAAACTTGTGTAATCAAGTAAACAAATGTTTCTGGGTGAAGTTATGAGCATAACCATGCAGGAAACAGATGATTATATGTGAAAAACTCATGAGGCTGTTACCTTTGGAAAAGCTTCTTTATATGTATGTAGAGAAAAGTTCCAAAATATTTTTAGACTTCTGAAATTTAGGAAACAACAGTTACTACCATGTCTTTCCAATAATTTTTCTTGTGACAGCTGACAAAGGGAAAACAGAAAATAGACAAGTCCATCCCTCCACGCTCCCTCCCTCCCTCTATGCACCAGTTCTCCTCTTATCCGCTTGTTGAAAATCATGTATTGGTTTTATTCATTTATCTGCATAATGGTATTATCATACATTTGGTTCTTTCAGCTCATTCTATAGAATGAGAAGCTATTCTTGCTCTCATCTTTTCCTTTCTTCTCTTATCCTCCTCAGATTGTTATAAAGCAATGAAGATCCTAAATTCACGGACCGCAACACTACAGCACAGTCTTGCTGTCTTTTTCTTTATGTGCTGGACATCACATTCAAGTTTTATATTTTTCTAGAAGTTTTTCTTGAACTTAAAGTTTTTGTGAAACGTTCATACCACATTAACCTATTTTTTAGAATTCCTTAGATTAGGCAAGCATATTATGAGATTTGTACAACTTAATTTTGCCCTAATCAGCAACCGCTCAGGCGTTTCAATTAGTTCTATGTTTTCAGCATGATAAACCTCAACCTATTTGAATTAACAAAAGAGAACCTGAACACATTGGTCCTTAAGGGTAATGGAACTTTTTGCTACTAGCTGTTGTGTATTTAACATTGCTTTCCAAAGAATTTCTGGTTATGAAATCTAGGTGACACAGACATTGAAGCAAGGTCTAATTAAGAGCTTGAACATTCCAACCATTATTAAAAACCCTAGCAGTTAAACAGTGCTGCAAAAGAGATCGCAAACAAATTTATATCCAATGGCCCTGATGTTTGTATAGCTTCTATGGGATGAAGAGATAAGGCCACAATAGATGGTCTACTCTTAAGACATTACCAGACAACTAAGAACAATTAAAGCTAGATGCCCCTGAATGGAGGTCCCCTAATCTACTTATTCCACTGTGGTCCAGAATGCTATCGAGCATACTATTTCAGTGGGGCTTCTCTTCATGAGAGTAATCAAGAAAACATGGGACCCCTAGAAATCATGTATTCCCAAGGAAATGCAGCCAATTACCCTAATAGACAATGGAAACAGAAAAATTTCGGACAAGGGACACTTTTACTTGGGCAAATACTACAACATCTTGAGCTTATTCTCATGTGTGTCAAAAATTTCTTCTAACGAAAAGGTATTTTGTCTTGACATTCATAGCATTATTAAATTTGACACAGCAGTTATGTGACCCCAATTCTTAACTTGCAAACTGTATATATTTCAACATAATGCACTTTTAAGACGGTAAAATATGCAATGACATATTCACAGATAAGCATATGCATAAACTACAATCAGAAACAGCACTTACAGCAACCCGTTGCTGGTTAATGCCACCATTTGCACTGACTACAATGTAGCCAGTACTGTTCTCTGGATGTAGTGTTCATGCAAGAAAACCATATTATAGACATCAGATAGAGCCATAACTATAAGACAACTCAAGGTGGAAACAACAGAGATAAAATTGATGTTACCAGTAACTTCCCAGTTACGTTGATCAGCACAAGGAGCCCAAGCCGGTTCATAATGTAATGGCTCCACCCATAAGTCCTTAGGCTCAGGATTATGAACACCCTGGATTTTTTACCATAACAGATTCAAGTAGAAATAGCTAGTAGTTTGAAGCATTTCCACAGACAACATGCTTAAAAGCAATAAAAATTACAACACATACCTCTCCTAAAGCATGGGCAGCCAAGGCCAACAAGCGAGGATACATAACTTTCTGAGGTCTATTCTGTTTAGACGACTTGATCCATTCCCCCTACAATAGAGAAAGAATCAGGTACAATTTCCTTGAAGGTGTCATGTTCACTCACTCCATCTAATTGTGATGGAAAGAACATATAATATCAATTCATATATTAATCAGTGAATTTTAACTAACAGCCAATACATATTGATAACTCAGAAACACTGGCACACTGCATCAAAATACAAGGTTGCTGCTAAATCAGGAAATAAGCATTCAGTCCAAAACAAATAAAAGAAAATATTATGGGGAAGGCAAGGCTATAGAGCGCTTCATGAACTCATAATGATTTAGTCGTACGTTAGAGAGGTAAACACTTGAATTAGGGGAACCTAAATAGATGGATTAGAAGGGTCATGTTGGTTCCATATATTTCCAACTGGATAATTATGTTAAGTAGGATAAGTAAGATTTGGACCTTGGATGTCTTGAAGTGGGCATCAGCCCAAACCCCTGCTTATAGGAAAAACAAACTCATCATCAGCATCCTCAGAGACATTTTCCAACTATTTGGGGTCGGCTACACAAATCTTGGTCTGCCGTTCTGCTCTATCAAGGGTCATACCCTCAGTGAGGCCATAAGTCCCTATATCTTTTCTCATTACTATCTAGTTTAAGTATTTCAACTTTGTAGTCCTTGGAACTAGTTAAATTATTAAACAAAAGAAAAATTGAAAATCGTGAACACCCGGCTGAGTGAAACATAACTCGGGTGAGTTGGGGCCGTCATACTATGATTAAGCTAAGTCATGGCAAAACTAGGCCATCAGAAAATTTGACTCTGTTTCTCAATATGCTGAGCAGACTGAGACAAGTCCCAAGTCAACTCGTCATGAGTTGGAGAACTATGATAGATGTTTACATTCAAGTTTCACAAAACTAACCAAAAGACCCTTTAATATGCAAATGGCAACTTAAAAAAAAAAAAAAATCAGAGCCACATGTCATGAAACACAACAAAATATGGCAATGTGGACAGTTAATTGCTAAAAGAACAAGACTAATTGGTAAAAGAGCAAGACAGCAGAAATGCATTTCAACACTTGAATATGTTGTGACAGCTGAAGTGCAATTGATATAACAGAAAGCCTAAAATATCATAAATGGATATAGCACCTCAAAGCTCATTTTCTCTACATTTATAAGAGGGTAGGACTCATAACTACTACTACCTTCCCAGTGGTGTCAAACCTAAAGGGAAATTATACCTGTCAATCATCTAGGGGAAATAGTTGCTGTTTTATTCCCTCCTTTTCGTAATCTATAGTTTTGCCTCCCTTTAAGTGTTAATGAATTAATAGAATGCATTCAGCAAAGTCTAGTGACTCATAGTAAATGAAGAATTTTCCTTCCAACTGCTACATTTTGTAATGACAAAGAGATATATACTCCCCACCATAAACTCATCCTAAAATAGCAATGGATTCACACCATTATCAAGTCGCAGAATCTCAATGGATTCCCCAAGTTGCGCCTTCCCAAATGAACTGTGAAAACAATATAAAATCCTAGAACCATTTCCTCAAGGTGGTAGCTAGGCAACCCCCCAACCTTAATATTGAAACCGTCCTTGGCAATAAAATTATGTTCTCCTCTCAAGCCCTCCTATCCCCATCTTTCAGTTAATCCAAGTTGCAGCCCTCGGAGCTTGATTTTTATTGTTGCAATAGAAGAAAAAGAAGTGTGTGAAAAAGAAAGATGTCGCATGCAAGTGGAAAGGACAATATGAGCTACAATTGTCTCAAATTTCCCCTTTAGTTATTATATGTGTTTGTTTGATGCATATCAATTGGCTAAAGTTTCATTTTATATTACTCCATTTAACATAAGCTCAATCTTGCTTGTGTATGACTTCTCCAGGAGTTCAGCAATCAGAATGCGGACCTTAAGATCTACCTTGAATTGCTGGAGTCACTCCGTGGCCAAGTGCATGTTCCTAAATTGTTCATTGGAAATTATATTCTCTTGTAGTTTACTTAATTGTCCCTGGAGAAGCATCCGAATACAAATACAGATAACTGATGAGAATTTTTGTCATGTGAATTAGATACCAGAAGTAGATAGTCTCGTTCTCATTTGAAAGTAAGCAGCATTGTCACGAGAAACCGGATCAATTTCTTATACCCTGATCCAAAAGGAGAAATGGACGTATCCCTTCTAGAGGTTAGATTGGAATTTTAATGGGGACTCATAACCTTCCGCTTGATGCAGCATTAATTGGACTAAAACCCCATCATTACCAATTCCAGTGGTTTCTGACATGCTTTTTATAGAAACGATAGAATCATGTTCCATAAGAGCATACTATTTTAAACCAGAATTCCAGATACTTGATTCAAACAAGCCTCAATTTCTGAAATATCTTCTCACATTATTCTTCATAAAATACCAACAATTTCATCCCTCTCAATCTTTGTTATTGATGGAACTATCAAAGAATTCAGTTCTTCTTGCCATGGTAGAAGCAGAACCCCCACCAGTGTCGGCAGATGGAGCCAGCGCTGAGTTCAAAGCACTTCAAATATAAACAAAATTTATAATAACAGTTGCAAACTGTTAAGAAAAATTAGATTTCGAAACTAAACTCCACTACCAATTTCATTGAGCTTGTCACATGCAAAATCCATAAAATTCCAAAGAAAATATTACTCGTCAAGAGAACAGTTTTTCCCTTTTCTTTAATTCGTCAATAACTTCGTCAAATCTGGTAAAACATGAATAAAAGAAAACATAAAGGGAAATCCAAATAAAAATAATACCTCAAACAATGAGCTCTGGTTCAAAGTAGCTTCACGTTTTCTTGAAGGAACATCCTGCAATCTCAAAAGAATCCACCAATTCATCAAAAAGAAGGTCGCCACAAGCCCTAAAGCCCCAATGATACTCCAAAACCGCCTCTTTTTCGTACCAACTATATGTTTCTTCTTCATCTCAAACCCCTGTAACTTCAACCAAAACCCTAGAAATCTCATCCCAGCCACGAATTTCAACCTCAATCTTCTCCCGAAACCCACTGTGGAAGCAGAAGCCCCTTGCATCCTCGAGAATCGACTCTGAGAGCCTGAGCTTCGACCGAGAGGGCCATTATCTTTGAAAATAGTGGGTTGATGAGTAGGGCTTCTTGGCGAGCCTTGGCGACTCCTTGGAGTCGTAGAGTGAGATCGCATGTGAAAAGCACTACTCCAAGCATTTGAAGCAGCATTGGTTTCTCTGTCTCTTGTCTCTCCATTTGACTGATCGAGTTCTGGTAGCAAAGCTTCGTGTTCATCTTCCAAAGAGGTGAGCTTGAGCTTGCGGAGCTGAAATGAAGCCGGTTCCTCAAGAGGATTCATGGTAGCTTCATGGAATGAGCAAAGTGGAGTGTAGAATAAGTAGTACTTGAGAGATAGAGAGAGAGATTTCTCTTTCAAATAACTGCGAAAAAGAGTAAACCTTACTGCGAGGTGAGAGGCACTGCAAGAGAGTTTTTTACTCGAAGCAGAAACAGATTAATGGAAGCAAGAGAGAGAATGTAGCAGGCAGCAGGAGAGAGAGAGCGCAGATGAGCAGGGGAGAGGAATTCGAGGTGGTAAGGAGAGAGAGAGACTGTGGAGGAGGGAGCTTGCGGTAAGATCGAAGAGAGAGAGGGAGAAACTCGGCAGAGAGAGAGTAAGGATATAGGGAGAGAGGGAGAGAGGGAGAGAGAGAGAGAGGAGCACGTGATTGCCAGGTCAGAGTGCGTCAAAGTGGTCGTATTTCTCATAATTTTTATAGGAGCTGCAAAATCACGAAGTCGCCCTCCTTTCAAATGCGTCCACCTCCATCGCATAATATTTCACCAAGTCTTTCTTCCAAACCATATGTAGAAAAAAGAAAAGAAAGGCGAAAATGGCTTTGGTGGAAACTGATACACCGGGGACGTTTTTCAACAGAGTGCGGTTTGTATAGAGCCGAGGCTCTAAACAATCAAAGTAAAGCGCACATTTAAATAGTGTCGAGAAATGTGGTTTCAATACTAAAAATCTTTATGATGACTTTAAAATATATTTTTATCTTTAATTATAAAATTTAAAGCTTCAAAAATAGTATAGATCGAACAGATTTACGAAAACTTGAAAATTGATGATCCAAAAATGCGTTACAAGATGCACTGTTTCCAAAACTTGAAATCCATTATTTTCTCATGTCCATGGATCTTGATGTCGAGATGATCTATTCGAGATATTTCGGTATCAAAACAACTTCTTCTAGTGAACGTTTTTGAGGTGGAATCTAATTTAATTGTTTAAAGCCTTGGTTCAATATAAACTTTTTCCTTTTCAATATGACTTATTTACTTTGTGATGTGTATAGATCACAAGAGGGATGGAGAAAGTTTGTCATTTAAGTGCATGTTTCATGTTTCGAACATCTTACTCTAAAAATTAATTAAGACTCAAAATATTTTTACAATTATTTACCTATTTAGTACATACTAGTAGAGTGCATGTGTCTCGCATGTGATTTAAATTGGATCTATATTGAGTAACTCTCTAGTCATGTATTTTTTCTCGTTACAACATCCTGATCATATTATTTATTTAAGTCTTTGTATCTCCAACCATGCCCTTTCTCTCTCTAACTTCTCTTTCTATAACTACATTTATATTTGCTAACTGCAATATCAATCTATCTCATGTTCTCTCCTTGAGCACATCATTTCTATCTCTAACCACACTCTATGGTATTCTTTAGAGTAAATTTAGGGAATTTAGTGGATTGGATATATTGTAAAACATCCATTTCTATGCATGAAAATGCATGAAGGTAAACCCAGAGTTTTGAATAGAATGCAGTCTGATGTTTCTAACATCGTACCGTATTTTTAACAAAAAAGAAGAATGTTAAGCTTGATTTTCATAAAAATTTCAACATCAAGATAAAGTAATCGATATTACAAAAACTATATAATGCAGCACGATCCAATTCTTGCGCAAAAACATGAAGAACAATATAATTTTGAAACATCAAGATTTTTTGCACTCATCCATAATTGAATAGTACAACCTCAATATATTTCATTTATGGAGCAATGAAATTTCGAGTACATGATGAACAATCAGATTGTTTGTTGATACACAAAAAGCTTCAATCAAAAGTCCATGGGCTCAATTGCATCGTCTGAATTAATAGAAAATTCGCTCTCATGCTCCGATGCATCAATGAAGTACATTTCTTCTTCAAGTGTACCTGAAAAGTCCCTCTCTTCCTCAAGTATACCACAACCATAATTGTGTTCTTCAGGTGTATCATAGAAGTCTCTATCTTCCTCAGGTGTATCAGGGAAGTCATTGCCTTGCTCAAGTGCATGAGCGCAGTTCATCCCTTACTCAGATGTAAGAGGACTACTATCATCAATTGCCTTTTTGCATGACCTCATATTGTGGCCCTCAGCACCACAACGCTTGCAGAGGGAAGTTCAAAGGATTCAATAAGTATTAACTACAAATAATGAAATATATGATAGACATATATGTTATGAGTATTACCTCGTTGATGGACAACATGATGGAGCCATACACACTATATCTGGTTGATGTTCCCTATGATTGCTTCGGATAGTTGGTTCGCAACACATACATGAACATTGGAAGATACCAATAGCATACATGTCACATCTACATTTTCGTTTATTTCTACTAAAATATCATTATCTATATACATAATTATCAAATTGTTGGGGTCACAACACGCAACAGCCCATATGCATTTGAAACTGCTCCAATGAGTCACTTCATAAAACATAAAATGTGCATCCAAATACTAGAAGCAAAATAAAATATAGAAAATTTTAGCATCTCCCAATTCTCATAATGTACATGAAACATTGAGATATTGATTCAATCGATTTGATCGAACATAAAATGGGCATGTAGATATAAGGATCTGAATGAAAGATATGAAATTATAATTATGTATACTTAGTACACTCTTCTAATAATAAATGTAGAAATTTTGTATTAAATAAAAAGATAAAGCAAACACACATAGGATCCCCTTAGAGCTATAGTTTTTCAATATTTACAGAAATCGATGCATAAAAAAATTAAATTCATTGTGTACCTCACAAATATGTTTCGCCCAACTTCAATGCCTTTGCAATGTCCAAATACGAACTCTAATAGAAAATTCTGTAAATTTAGGGAAAATGAGAAAGTAAGGTTCAAATTGATAAGAGGATAAGAGAGAGTGAACTGAGAGCTGATGCCAACAGAGAGAGATAAAAAGTAAGAGAGAAGATAGAGCAAGAGTAAAGAGAAGAGAGGACGAAAGAGTAAAGAGAGAGAGAGAGAGGCTTGAGAGCAGACGAGGGTGTTTCTAGAGAGAGAGAGAGAGAGAGAGAGTGAGAGAGAGTGAGAC